TTTTCATGTGCTCATCTTAGAGTTCTTTAAGTACATCTTTATCTTACCATTGGGCAGTGTGCCATCCAGGCAGGAGGCAGTGTACTGCTACTGTTTCACATTTTTCTCCTCTCTCACTTTCCTTAGCCTTTTTTCAGTCCTCTCCTCAACTCCAATGCCCAGGCCAGGTCGGCACACAATCTTACAACTGTTGTCTGTGCAGCCTGTGGCCCGGCTCTCCATACTAGCCACAAGGATGGTCCTTCCATAGACGCCGGGATTTTGCACTGCCCTTGAGCATGTTGCTACCTCCCAGCTAAGCCTGTTAGGTAGAAAGGATCATTTATTCATCACACAAGCAAGCAAGTTTATGGAAGTAAAGATGAAGCATCCAGGAATTTAGTCATTCCTAAGTTGTCATAGTTGCATAATGAACTGCCACCTAGCTCAGTCTGAACTATGGAGGAAGACCTGGTCCCTCTGATTTGACTGGTGAAGTGTGATTTATTCACTGAAGGAAGGAATTTTTACATTAATGCTGTTGGGAGTTTCAACTGAGTCATCCAGTAGGTTACATCTTACAGATACAAGCAGCTCCTTTCATTAAATTATACTGATAATCATTAGCCTCACAGTGAAACTAGTCATACACTAACATGAAGCCACAGACCCAGGTTAGTGGGAAGTTTTTATTTTTCTCTACTGGCACCACTAACAGTTCTTTGGAAACTAAATTCACCATCAATTCTGAGTGCTAGAGTGCTCCTGCAATCCCCATAAAGCAACTCCATTTTATCCTATGGAATTCAGAGAGGTCATAGATCCGTTATATCCAGCCTTAAGAACAAATGCTACATGAATAACCGGGTGAAGTTTTAATGGCCTGTGATGATCAAGATGATTTAATAATCCCTTCTGGCTTATTTACTATGAATCTATCAACTCACCCAAGAGTGAGACAGACTGCTCCCAAGTGGAGTTGTCACCAAGTGGCACAAAGGAGTTAGCACTTAAACATGGTAACTACCAGAAGGCACTGGAGTAATACAGTGCTTCTGCTGGTAATTTTATTTAGTCTTTACTTTGATTATCTAACATAATAATCCTTATAACCATAACTATTCTAGAAATGAAAACAGAGCAGCTTTCTATCCATCTCTAAAATTTATTGGATTTGCTTGCAGATTTGTCACCAGTAGAGTCTCTTTCTTTTGTTGGCCCAGCTGTTAATGAAAATATAGACTGAAGCAAGCACTTAACTTACATATAAAGTATAGTCAACTGTAGTAAAATCAATGGGATTAGCTAGAGTGTGCAATATTAAAAAGCTTTGTAGGTCACTGAAGAAACAGGATCAGACACTGCATCTTCCATGAAAAAAAGCCTAGTAAGTACAAGATAAGTACAAGGGAGTATTATGCAATATGGAGGGGAATAGGGAAATACAGGCCAAATTCTCATCCCCAGTACAGTTCTTTGGAAGCCACAAAGAGTTTGGCTCAGCTAAACTGAAGACTAAGTCCTTGTGATTGTCATTTATTGCATTTTCTCCCTTTCTATTTCAGTCTCTTTTCATATGATTCTACAGAAATATTCAGAGACCACATTTCTTTAGCTGTTATTGTTCTATTACAGAAATGCTGCATTAAAAATTCATATTTTCTGGAAATAAAATCTATCACAGAGCAAGATGGCAATATTTGCATTCTCTAGGAGTGATACTACGGACATTCATTATATAGAACAGAGACTAAATAGCCTATTTAGAAAAAAAACCAGGCTGCAGGAAGATGCAGATTGTCAATACAGGAAGTAATTTTAAAGTCAGAGCTGCATTACAAAAAAGAGAGAGAAAGGAAGACCTAACAGTGTTACAAACTAAAAATAAAATAAACAGACTAGACCCTGGTTTAATAAAGTGAGATCCCAGAGTTTAACCACAAAAATAATATTGTAATCTGGATCTGCAATCAGAAACTCTTCTACTAGAGAGATCCCTTTGTAGCCTAAGGGCTACAGGTACTGGACAAGTGGAAATTCTGAAATCGCAACCAAGAACCAGGCTTCCATGATGTTTGCCTCCCAGAAATTCATAAAGTTTTAGATTTACTATGGCCTATTTTCCATTATGAACCATTTCTTAATTCAACAGCAGGTTGAATACAAACACAGTTCTCTATTACTGATATATCATAGTATTTTGCAGCTGTTATATTTCAACAAAATAGCTCATACCATTAATGATACGTGATCTTCTTGTGAGATCTTTGCTAAACGCCCAATACGCAAAATCATATAGAAGGATACATTTCTGTGTTTACACGCTTCTTTATCATACAAGTATTGTAAAAAAATTATATATGCAACTCCACTCTAAAAGATAAAACCCTAATCTCATACCTTTTCATGTCTAATGATACATTGTCAAAGTAGAATGAGATTAAGAAAATGCACAACAGTCTCAGAAGAATACAAGCAGTTCTGAGCATCATAAATACTTGCACATATCCTTCCTCTGCCTCTTCTGTTTTTAAGTTCAGTGTACCAGCAACAAATCTTTTTTTGTGGATTTACAACACATTTTACAAGCTTTTCTATGCTCTACAAAGTCAGAAGTTCAGGTACTTCCAATAATTTCACATTTTCTTTAAAAAAAAAATGAATACCAATGCAAATTTTTAATTTCCAAGCAATTTTACAATACCAAAAGCAAAATGCACCAGCCCTTTTCTCTGAACAAAGCAGCTACTGGATTGCTTTATTGATCTTCAGATATTTAAGAATAGACAATTCTTCTCTCAAATGATTTTGAAGAGTATTTCATGAAAATACTCAGGAAGATATCACAAGGAACAAGCATGGTTGGGTTCTCTATCTTCTAGAGTTCCTCCAAAGTTCAGCTGGAATGATCCCCTAATATCCCTAAGCAAGGACTCAGGTCCTAAAACTCAGCTGTATAAAAAGACCAATCTGCTTTGTTCCCTTGACATTACAATATTCACTGCCTCACGAAGCAGAGGGCTGGGAATAGAGCACCTCAAGTCAGAATTTGTTGAGTGGGCTTCGAATGTGTCTCTTGAGCCTCAGCTCTTGCAACTGAAAGAGAACCAGTCTGAAAAACCAGCTATCAGTGAAAAATATAGGAAGCAAATCCTCAAATACTCAGAGGACCTAAGAAAAAAAATTCACACCAAAAATTAATCTCAGCAGTGAAGAAGTTCCTCTTATCTCCATTATAAAATGAAAAAGAACAGCAGTATTTATATAACAATAGGTAATTAAAGAGTAGCATAGAAGATACTGAATATTTCACTAATATTACTTACTAGTGTTGTTTGAATTCTGGGGTCAAATACACAAATTCTCTGAGCCTGACAGAGATAAAGTACAAACAATGGAATCTAATGTCTGCTTTTAAACCTTTTCCTTGAACAATAAATGTACTAATTGTAGAAAGCAGGATCTAGCTTTTCTTCTGTGCTGTACATGCTGTCACATATGGATGGAAATAGAGATTATCAGAATGGTTTTGACTAAAACGTGTTCTGTGAAAGCCTGAATATTTCAGAGAGTCTTATCAATAAATGTTTCATTAAGAACGGGTGGTTGGGCCTATGTCTAAGTACCAAAGTAAGACGTTCTCATTGCACTGGCCATATTATTGAAGTCTTTGATGTACCTGGATGAATTCTCATTTAAAAGCTACTCACAGCAGATAGCAGGCAGAACAGAGGTGTACATTTGCCCATTCCCAAACCAGCTTTACCAGCCTAGCTGGACACGTATGCATGGTCTTCTAATTGAAATACCAAGGTTCCAATTCTAGAGATGACACCCCAGTACAGCTCTGGTTGTAGAAACATTAAAAATTAAGCCAAAAACCTACCCAATGTAGAAAAAAATGAGATGTCAAAACCTCAAAAAACTTTTCTGAAACCAAGTTGTGTTGTGTAGCCAGCCGCTATTGCAACACATGTTATGAAGCAAATTACTTTTTACTGAACCAGATGGGAAGAATGAAAAATCTATAGCTAATTTAAAAGCTGCCCGGTACACACAGCACCTAGAATATTTTGCAAATGCATAGTGACAGAACAGTTCGCCCAAACAAGGGATTTGCTCAGTTACTCTCCAGATCACCACTGATATTCCTTTAACCATTCCCTCAGTCTTGAAAAAGGAATTAAAGTTCATTAGTTTTCTCTCAGAAAGTTTCTTGACCAATGTCCTGAGGGAAAAAGGATTTAAGTGAGTTACATGGAAGGACATGATATCTCCCAGTCTCAAAGCAGCTAGGGAACAAGTAGAAAAGATAATATCCCTTCTGCCTTTTTTTTTGGTGTTTTTTTTTTTTTTCCTCTTTTTTATATGAATGAAGTCTCACAGTGAGCCAGTGACAACCTCGGCTTTCACCTATGCTATACGTTACAGCCAGAGAATCAAGGAATGGAAAACTGACTTGTATTCCTGATAATAAAGGACTCCTAGGTAAGACACAGTTGTACTAGTTAGTAATTATATTTGTCCTTTGGTCGCACAGATCCACAGTTCTCACCCCACTGAGCAGAGCTCAGGAGCATACACATTAAGATTGTGTAGGTTTTACTACCTTAATACAATTCACAGATTTCTAATTCACTACAAGTCAGTTTATTTGCTGCCTAATTAGTAAGGCCTCAATATCCCAGGGAGAGAGAAATATATTAACCCTGTTTTAACCTCTTTAACTAAAAAGAAATAAGTCTTATCTCATAGCAGGTCAGAAGCAGCTCCATATGTGCAAGTCTATGCAACAGCCTTTCAAGCAGCCTGAGAACTTCCACTGGCGGCCCCTGTACAAAACCACCAGACTTTCAAATAAACATATACCATAGCAAGAAACAGTATCACAAAGGCTTGTGCTCATCCACTGTGACAGAAGTACAAAACTGCCAAATTAAAAGTGAAAGTCAAGAGTGAGAATGACGTTTAGACTAAAACCACAGCAATCATTTTGTCCCAAGACCACTCCTTAAAACGCGATGGGAGTAAAGGGTAACAAATCCAAATCCAGTACGCATGGAATAGTGCTATTCTTTAGCACACAATAATTTGGCCATCATCCTGAGAGTAATGGTGCTTATGACAGAGCTAATCTGAATTTCTTCCGTGACACTGCCACAGCACCAAACAAGGTTAGGAAGAGTGATTTGACAACTCAGAAACATTAGTATGTGAGCCTCGTAAAAGTGACTGACACAAAATAAGAAACCGGAGCACTACATTGTTACCGCCAACTGGAACCTTCACATGTCAGCTTCCTGACTAAAGTTAAATTCAGCCAGGATCACAAACTATCACATCTATTCCTGTTAGTCATTTCTTTGCTTTCCAGAAGCATCTCTTAAAAATGAGGACTGAAGTGACTGGTATTTTTCATCTGCCTTTTCTTAAAAAGGAGAGTTTTCTTCTGGTCCCCAAAAATCACAGACTTCAGTTCCTTCAGGTCTCTGTCCATCATAGAAAAACTCCGGATAAGCTTCTCTGAAATGTGAATTAAGGGGAAGGAAGGATAATAGTGGTGGTTTTTTCTTGGTTGAAGCTATTCAGGCTAAGTGACAGGCATCTGCTGCTTTTCCATTTGCATTTGATGTTTTTATTTTCTACTAAAAAGCATAAAAATCTGTGGGTGTATGTATATTTTTACTGCACTAGCACCACACAAAACAGGAAGCAAAAAGTGGTACATAAAAATTGCAGCAAGGAAGAGCAAAGTTGGACAAAACTACTGGAAAATGAACAGGCATGAAGGATCTAGGTACTTCATGAATGCATAGAAAAGGACAACCCTCCTGGTTCCTGAAATACTATATATTGCATTCAAGTAGTAAAGATGGGACAGAAAACAGACTGACTTGAGTAGTAAATCCAGCTTTTCATACTTAACACATTATTTGCTAAAAGATACCATCCTTTTCTACATCTTCTGTTTCATAATTTTGGGCAGCACACTTTTCCTTAGAGAGTTTGTCGGGGGCAAGGGGGAACACATGACAGAGAGATAAATGGATGGGGGAGACGTGTAGAAGTGTGCATGTGGGGACACGTGTCACTCAAAAAAATGAACTTTGAAAGGATTAGAAAAGTTTTAACATCACCCCTTACTCTTCTCAGTAGATAGTTATAAGCAGACTTTCAAAAGTAATTTGATCTTCAGCAAAGGTGTTTCCTAGAGGTATTCTCTTCGGGTTCTCAGTCAGTTTACAGTAGGTATAGACACCACCTTTTCCAAGTAAACATGATTACTAACCTGCTTAAAACTGCATGGCAGTAAATGGGTCCTGGACCCTGGGTGAGGCTTTACACAAAAAGTACAGGTGTACAACACAAGAAGATGAAACCATATTACTACCAATTTATCACCTCCACATTTTCATATGGTGGGAAGACCCTATTCCAGAGAAAGATAAAACTTAGAACATGGACATGTCACAAAAAACCCAAACACTGAAAAACTACCAAACGCACAACTTGAAAATAACCAGAGAAAACCTTTAACGACCTAAAGTTTAAAGAGTATCTCTAAAGTGAGTGGGACACTTAATTACAGATATAGAAGGAGAGGCAATCACCTTTTATTTTTTGCAGCCAAGGAAGAAAAAAGGTCCAAAGATATACCATGGCCAGTTGAACTTGTTTACACTGAACCACAGCTCCAACTTAATGCAATCCATTTTTAAGCAATTCATTTGAAATCTTTGGTAGGAGTGTCCATTATGAGCACATGAGCTGCTGCTTTTATTTTAAACTAGGAATACTAACCTAAGTAAGTCTGAAAGTGAAATAAGAGTATTCAGATGGTGCACTGCCTCAGTTTCATAAAGCCATGACTTTTAATGGGTAGACAAGCTTCTGGTGGCCAAATTCTTCTCCAAATATTGAAGGTGTATTGTTAAAAACTGCTTGAAAAGACGTAGCAGTGACAGCAGCAATTCATCGACTCATTTCATTAAGTCCTTTTCTGCAATCAGAAAATACTGTACTTAATCTGAGAACATGACTATTAGGTACATCCCAATACAACCCTGACCAGGTTGCCATAACTCCAAACATGGCCCCTAAATATACACAAATTTAGTTTCCAGCATGTGCATTATGACCAGAGTGCTCCAGATATATAATGGCAAATTTAGGGATATCTGTAGCTCACTCAAGGCTGGAATTACAAGAGAACTGTAAAGCATCAAGAAATCCAAGACAAACAGTGTGCATGCTCAGGTCACATCCAGCATGCACAGTAAAACCAGAGCACAACAGGTGTGTGTGCTTCTTTCCAGGAAATCTTGGACAGAACCCCAGTATCCATGGTTACTTTTTGGTTTTTTTACAGATAAGAATAAATAGTAATTTTCATAATAAATCAAAAGTGCGTCTCTAAGCCCAGTAATGGTATTTGCTAGTATGGGTTCCTCAAAGTACTTCAGCATAATCTGAATTGCAGAGAATAATGAATCTTTAATGTCCTCTAGACAGAGCAGCACCGCAGCATGCTGAGAGAACTGCAGCCGCATCTCTCATGGCACTGTGATGTTGTGCACTACTCCCTGCGTGATGATATGCCCCCATGAAAAGAATGGGACTGGCTGCGGATTTAATGGGATGTTGTAGATCAGCTTATTTCTAATTCTTTCCCCAAAAAAGTTTGCTGAAGCATGATCACAGGCCCTAGCTCTACCCTCTGACATTCTCACCCTCTGCTCCAACTCCTCCGCTTTCCCTTCTGCTCTGTTAGATTTATTTTCATCATAGTTACAGAAATTTCATGCTGAGCAAGTTGATGAGAGTTCCTTTTCTAAAAATCTTCTGATTTTCCCAAAATAACTGCATCTACTAGACCTGTGAACCAGACTAAAATATCCTTTCACTAGCATTCAAAGGCAGAGAAGAAAAATGATACCATATATGGAAGCACTGTGTATTCCCCAGTGTAAAGAATCCTTTCCAATAAGGAAATCCAATCCTTTCCTTTTTCTCTTATTTTACTGCTCAGATCAACACAGGTATCCACTGTCCACTTTTCTGAAAGAGAGGCCAGTTTACTTGAAGCCACGATCAAATAAGTCACATTTCCACCTTTTAAAAAAATTAAAGCAGTAAATTAACCTTCAGATGAGAGATACATCACAACACAAAGTATTAGATTAACAATTTAAAGCAATCCACCAACTAAGAAACACTCCTCCATTTATTCTAAATAATTTCTTTTGCTGAAAGTTTTCTCATTGGCATCTGCAGAAAAAAAACAACCAGTTTTTCCGTGTCTGTCCTGGGACACGCCTAGAAGAGGAGGCATAAGCATACCTCAGGCCCCCTAGGCAGAGTCCCTGATGACCAAGTTTTGTTTCAGAAGCTGTACAGGCACCGGGTCAGCCTCAGACCCAAACACATTGCCCTCTCAATAGTGCTGACTAGCTAATGCTTCCCCAGAGCAGAGCTTGGGCCTCCTTCACCTGAGGAACACCGCCGGGTCCTCTCACCACCTCTGCCACTGACCCTCCACAAGGTTAGCGAAGATAATTTCTGATTTTTCAGTTTGGTCATAAACTTTCCCAGCACAAAAATTGCTTACTGTGCATTTGTACAGCACCTAGCACAATCAGCACCTGCTGTTAGTAAAAACCTTTTGCAGTGCCTCCTACAACAGGTTTGCAGGATTATATTCAAATAGAAAGAGCATCTTAGCATGACAACGCTGTTCTATAAATTGGATTCCCGTACTGTCTTATTTTGCCATAATCTTTGTAACTGATTAGTTTGCATATAAAATCACAGTTCATTTGGCACAGGTTTTCCATACCTGGCTGCTTGTCAGTGCTTGGTGCAATATAACGAACCTCTGTTTTCCCATTAGTATTCACTGCAGCAAGATGATGAATGACACTGAAGATGAGTTTATCTGATGTGTTTTCTTGTTTTCAAGAAATCTTCATCCATTTACCGTATACCTCATTTTGTTTCCTTTGTTGTCTTCAGTCTTTTACAAAGGAAAGCTGTTAATTTTTTTCATTATTACTATTCTCTACATATCCATGAGCCTGATCCAGTGTTCCTTTGAAAAAATTCCCATTGACTTTAAAAGACACTGGAACTGGCCCCTGTGGAGGCTGACTGCTTCTGGCATACCTTATACTGCAGTAACACCACCTACTCTACCCCTCTGTACTTGGTATTTTGTCTCTTTTGAGGCTTCACACTTTACCACATCTGCCCGCAGAATGCTAACATTTACCCTTTTCATGACATTTCAGAAACGTCACAACCTCTGCCCGTGCTGACAGCATGTGGCGATCCTGCTTAAGATTCAGTCCTCAATCAACAGCAGTACCTTTGATACCCAAAAGTGGCCAAGAATCAATTCATCTTGTCAATCCCTAAACTGGTAGGAAGATCTCACCATTTTGTGACACATAGCTTAATCCATGACTGAAGCTGGCCCCTTTTAAGGAAGCATACATGCTTTATTTCTCCAGCATCTGTAGAACACATTTTTTCTGAATGTGAAAATGCAAACAACCAATACACATATAAGCAATTTTCCCCATTACAAAATCTAACACAGCAATCTTTACCTTAGGATTTTTATTTTCCAATTCATTTGCAACTTTGCAAACCATGCCATTACAACTGAAAAATATTCCAGAAAGCATTCATCTCACCCTCCCTTTCCATAAACCCAGCCAAAGGGACCAGCTTTTTAATTATCTAGCAAGAGAGTCAGTAAAACATCCCGACCTCCTTAACAGGATCCTCAGGCTCCAAACTCATTATCAGATCGCGTTTTATCTTTAATAGTCAGCGATTTAAACTCCCTCCAGTGTTATAATCACCGTGGTGATTATAGCTCCATGGTGCAGCGAAGTTTTAGAATGCTACAGACTTGGAGCCCACTGCTACCACCACAAACACCGCAATACGCAGCCACTGCCAGGCAGCACCACACTGGGAAGCTCAATCTGCTTGCCGGAACAATCTTTAAATAGTATTAACTGGCAGAC